CACTACATTGTACACCTGAAACTAATATTACACTGTATGTTAACTAACTGTAATTTAAATAAAAACTTTAAAAAACCACAATACCTTCAAATCATTAAAGCAAGATTTGTAGAGCTAATTCCCAAGGCAGGCCAAAAGACTGAGGTCAAAATGTATTTCAATAAATGCAATTATCTGGGGGACTTACAATGCGGAGTTTTACCCACATTGTAGGAGTGTTATCCTGGAAAATAGCAATGGTTAAAGAAATCCCTCCATCTACTTTGTGTTCCTGGAAGGGCTTATGCAAGGACTCTTTCTTCCTCCCACCTGCCTTAATAAGACTCACTGATGCCCCACTTGCTTACCTATGGCCTATGACAAGGCCAGACACAGACCCTCCAAATTCCCAATCTCTGCCTTATAAATGATTAACTGAGCTGAGTCATCCAATGATATATCAAAACAAACTGCTTGTTAACTAAATGTTGGTTAAATTTCTCTTCTTCCTCTAGACTGAGTCAGCACATAACCCCTTTTTAACAGCCCCTACCAAGAATAGGCTAAACTTGGGTAGAACGTTCTCTGAGCTGTACTGGTCCTGCCCCTTCTACATCCCATTTCCCCACATTGGACTTTCCAGCCCTGTTCACTCTTCATAAACGGTTAATTTGACTGTTTATCCTCACTGATCCATCAAAACAGTTGTGTAAACTTTAATTAAGCATTTCCCCTCCACACCGGCCTCTGGACTTTGAGCCACCCTCAGCCTGAGCCATCATTGGCATGCAGAAAAACACTCCATGGGCTTTGCTTACTCCTCTCTATAAAAGAATAGCTCTTCTCTGCCTGACCTTTCAGTTGTTCATAGATCATATGGCCTTAGGGTTCTTCCTTTTGAAACTGATCTATTCATCCATTCACTGATTCAGTCACTCAATAAATCTTGATTGAGAACTAACTGTACCAGCTTTGTAAGGCCTCACGCCAGCTAGGCTGAACTACCTTTCCTGGAATTCCCTTCTTTGCCTGGTTCCAGCTACAGTGGGCCACATGAGAGGTTCCTAGGGGAGATTTGGAGGACAGAGTTGAAGCATCTGGCATTTAGTTGCTAACTTCATGATATGAGGCTGTGCCTGGGCTGGCAAGTGCTTCACTCTCCCTTGGGTTTGCCTTCAGCTTCTCTGTCTTCTGAGCCAGGGTGTTTAGCCCCCTAATGAAGGAACCTGTCTTCTATAAGACATCCAATCTACCAAGGTCAGAGCCTGCAAGAACTGACAAGATTTCCATCCCTGTGAGCCTCAGCTTTAACATGGTGGGAAATTCTTGGGTAAATTAATGTTTTGATTTTTTCATATGTGCTCCCTTTTCCCCAGGTTCTTGTCAGTTACTTGGATTCTTGCCAGTGAAGCAGTCCCTTCACTTAACCTTGAATTCCCTTCATGATTTGAGGGAAGATCTTGACCAGAACCACTAGGGCAATGATTGTATTTTTTTTCCTTTTTTCCCCAGCTTTACTGATATATAATTGAAACTAACATTGTGTAAGTTTAATGTGTGCAATGTGATTATTTGACACACAGATACATTGTGAAATGCTTGGCACAATAATGTTAATACCTCCATCACATCACACAACTATCTCTGTTTTTGTTGTGAGAATATCTAAGATCTACTCTTTTAGCAACTTTCAAGTATTACATTAATTATCATCATCATGCTGTACATTAGATTCCCGGAACTTATTTATCATATAACTGGAAGTTTGTACCATTTGACCAACATTTCCCCATTACCTCCAACTCCCAGTTCCTAGCAACCACTATTCTACTCTCTGTTCCTTTCACTTTGGCTTTATTAGATTCTGTACATAAGTGAGATCATATAGTATTTGTCTTTCTCTGACCTATTTCACTTGGCATAATGCCCTCAAGGTCCATCCATGTTGTCACAAATGGCAAGATTTCCTTCTTTCTCATGACTGGATAATATTCCATCATGTATGTATACCACAACTTCTGTATCCATTCATCCATCTATGGACACTTAGGCTGTTTCCATGTCTCAGTTATTGTCTATAATGCTGCAGTAAACCTGTGGGTACAGATATCTCTTGGAGATTGTGATTTCATAACATATATATATATGTTAGTTAAGTGTCTATTTTTAATTTTTTGAGGAACGCACATACTGTTTTCCATAGTGTTTTTACACCATCTGACACACAGTAAAGAATCAATAAATGTTGGCTGATTGGGTTTATGAAGTATTTATATCAACATAACCATCTATTTAGTCACTCCACTTACCAAGGGTAAAGATTCATTCATTCAACAGGTACCTCTAGAAGACCTACTGTGTGCTGGGCATGGGAACTTGAAAAAGGCCTCAGACCAGAATAGATGCAGCTGTGCTGTAGCTTGGATGGTATCAAGACAGTAGAAGTATAATATTTTGAAGATTAATCTGACATTAGCTAGGAGCATCTCACAAAAAGGTCACATGACAATAAGAAGCCAAGTTGAATTTGATGCCAGATTACTGGGGATGTAATATTGAAAACCTTCAGCACGTGCATGCACACACACAATAAAAACACAAATATGATGTTTAATAAACACATTTGACTGAAATAGGAGATTCAAGGGAGCTGACACATTTTGGTGGTTGCCTGCTTTGATAATGGACAAAGACTTATAAAGGACACTTTGAAACCTTTGATGAAACCATTCCAATATTTGGAATTTATCCAAAGAAAACAATTCAAATGAAAAATGCTCTATGAACAATTTTGTAAAGCAATACTAACTTATGGAGAAGTACTAGATGCAATCTCAGACAATTTACAGAAATAATGAACTATTATTATTTTACAATTCTAAGACCCATTAACATGAAAGCTATGATATATATGCCGCTAGATGGAGAGTCTTAAGATGAACATAAAAAAAGCAGAAAATGACAATACGTAAATTCTAATCAGAAAATAAAATAAGACAAAATCAGAGAGGGAGACAAACCAAGAGACACTTAACTATAGGAAACAAACTGAGGGTTGCTGGAGGGGAGGTGGGTGGGGGGATGAGGTGACTGGGTGATGGGCATTAAGGAGGGCACGTGATGTAATAAGCACTGGGTGTTATATGCAGCTGATGAATCACTAAACTCTACCTCTGAAACTAATAATATACTATATGTTAATTAATTGAATTTAAATAAAATTTTAAAAATATGAAAATATAGAAGGAAACACCAAATAATATTATAGGAGTGTTACAGCTAAGACTTTTTAAAATTACATTTTTTATGGTTTTAAATTTACAATTAATCTCATCTGTATTGTAGTCCTCTTACTAGATTCTACCTCATCCCTTTGCAGCTTTAAGCAGGGCACTTAATTTTCCTGGTCATTATTTATCCAAGGAAAAAACCTGACTACCTTAGAATATTACTAGAGGATGAAATAAGATAATGTTTACATAATATGTCTCTAAATTGTGTTATATGTCATCCAAACCAGCATATTCCTTCTAGAGGCTGATAGATTGTCTCCCCTCTACCGAAAGCTGGCTCCCTAATCTCCTCACATTTCTTTTTCGATTCAGAGCCAGAGCCTGGCTTTATACTGTCAAGAATTTCTCACAGAACTAGGGTATTGCTCTATACACAGTAGGTGCCTGATACAGGTTTCTGAAATGGAAGAGCTTCCTTTTTGCCTGGCATAATTCTCAACCCAAATGGGTTCAGAAATTCTTATCCACATCCAACAGTAGCATTTTGATTCATTCTATTTCAGTGGAGGAAGCAAAAAGAGATGAGGGGTCCCAGAACAATGATTTTCCTTTGTTCTCACCTGCAAAGCTGTCAATCTGAGTCTCTGCAGAGATCCCCGAGTAAAGACAAGAAGCTGCAGGCTGTTCTAGGATGTGAAATACACCATCTGCACAAACTTCTGGCAGCAGAGTATGAAATTTAGTCCCTCCCTCAGGATCCCATGTTCAGAGAGACAGCTCCAAAATATTGATAGGTTGGCAGAATGACCTTTGAGGCTCTTTTCCCAGAAGGCTCAGCTGTTTTCTGGTTTTAAAAGTCCTTCCATTATTCAGCACCTCTGTCTGAACTGTGAAATCAGCTGGCTAAGCACAGGAAGGTAGGTGGATCTCTATAAAATATACCTCTTTTCCTTCCTTCCCCTTTCACAAGCACCAACAAGAAGAGACAGATATTGTTAAGATGTGACTTATAGAGTCAGAGTTTTTAACTGTAAGTAAAGAAATTACTTATTTGGGGGTCCCTGGGTGGCACAGTTGGTTAGGCATCCAACTCTTGGTTTCAGCTGAGGTCATGATCTCAGGGTCCTAAAACCAAGCCCCATGTTGGGCTCCACTCTCATTGCAGTCTACTTGAGTTTCTCCTTCTCCCTCTCCCTCTGCCCCTGCCCCTCTCCCACTGCTCGCATTCCCTCTCTCTCTCAAATGAATAAATAAATCTTTTTTAAAAACTACTCAGAAAACCAAACTTTAAATGATGGCCACATAATTTAATTCAGTAGAGTATCTCAAAACTCTTGAGAGGGCACCCAGGGTCAAAGGCTGAGGGCTTTTGAGAGGTCCTTTGGAAAATTTTATCAGAGGAAGGGGAGGACACCAGAGAAGACACTTTTCAAATCAGCCTTTTTATTTTCAAGCACAGAAGCATGGAAAAGTATGATTCTTTCATGAAAGAAGTCTTCAAAGAGGATAACATTGCTTTGAAAAGGTTATCCTGGCACTAATGATTGACATTGGATGATTTTAATTCTAAGAGGTCTGTCACCATAAAAGCAAAACATAACACCAAAAGTTCAAGCTTCCATTTTTCCATAATATGGAGGAGGAAAAAATATTATACAAGGGTGGGTTAAGTAATGCATAGAACCCAAACAATTGGATGTTTTTGTGCTAATATAAATTATAACGCTTGTGTTTGAACTGGTATTTTTTTCACTGACCATAAAGGCTTGAAATGGACAATGGCACTAATCAACAATATTTTCTAGGAGTGCATTTCCACTGATGCCAACCACAAGGAGCAGACTTAAACTCCACACTTCTCAGTGGCTGAAGGTTTTCTTTATCTTTTGACACATGGAAATTAAATGGCATTTTTTTCTGAATAAAATACTTTATAAAGTGAGAACCAATTTTCTTCATGTAGCCTTGGTCTCGGTTTGGGGACAGTGTAACCCATTCTCATCTCACAAGACTATTCCATCACAGTCCAAGAGATAGTGTCCCCCTCTGGACCCAGCACACCAAATCCTGGAAAATTCTTGAGGTAGCATTCAATATATTTCAAGCTCCTCCCATTTTTTCCAAAATTCCACTGCTCATTCACAAGCTCCACGTGGGAGGCATCCAAGATGTTCTGAAAGCTTCCTTTCCTGTCAACAGAAGAATGTGCATTTATTCAGCCAACATTTACAAAACACCAGGATTGCAGAAAATAAATATGACATCAATCCTTTCTTTGAGGATCCCACAGCCTAGAAGAAGAAACAGATGGACAAAAAACTACTACTAATTCTTTGTCTGCTTCAAAATGTTCCCAAATAATTAAGAGGGATATAACCCTATGTGCCTTATGATACATTTCATAGCAGAAAGTGAGCATCATAGAGTATAGCACATCTCAAAAAGTCTAATCATATATCCTGAGGAAGAAGAAACTAAGCATATGTCATTTTTTTAAATTTAATTTAATTTTATTATGTTAGTCACCATACAATACATCATTAGTTTTTGATGTAGTGATCTACAAGTTATTGTTTTCATAAAACACCCAGTGCTCCATGCAGTAGTGCCTTCCTTAATACCCATCACCGGGCTAACTCATCCCCCCAACCCCCTTCCATCTAAAACTCTCAGTTTCTCGGAGTCCATAGTCTCTCATGGTTCATTTCCCCCTCCTATTCCCCCCCTTCATTTTCCCCTTCCTTCTCCTAATGTCCTCCATGCTATTCCTTATGTTCCACAAATAAGTGAAACAATATGATAATTGACTTTCTCTGCTTGACTTATTTCACTTAGCATAATCTCCTCCAGTCCCATCCATGTTGATGCAGATATTGGGTATTCATCCTTTCTGATGGCTGAGTAATATTCCATTGTATATATGGACCACATCTTCTTTATCCATCCATCTGTTGAAGGGCATCTTGGCTCTTTCCACAGTTTGGCTATCACGGACACTCCTGCTATGAACATGGGGGTGCATATGGCCTTTCTTTTCACTACATCTGTGTCTTTGTGGTAAATACCCAGGAATGTAATTGCTGGGTCATAGGGTAGCTCTATTTTTAATTTTTTGAGGAACCTCCACGCTGTTTTCCAAAGTGGCTGTACCATCTCCAAAAGCTAGTGAAACAAAAGCAAAAATGAACTTTTGGGACTTCCTCAAGATAAAAAGCTTCTGCACAGCAAAGGAACAAGACAAGGAGGCAACCCACAGAATGGGAGAAGATATTTGCAAATGACACTACAGATAAAGGGCTGGTATCCAAGATCCATAAGGAAATTCTCAAACTCGACACCCAAAAAACAAATAATCAAGTAAAAAAATGGGCAGAAGACATGAAAAGACACTTCTCTGAAGAAGACATACAAATGGCTAAAAGACACATGAAAAAATGTTCATCATCATTAGCCATCAGGGAAATTCAAATCAAAACCACATTGAGATACCACCTTACACCAGTCAGAATGGCAAAAATGGACAGGGCAAGAAACAACAAATGTTGGTTGTGGAGAAAGGGGAACCCTCTTACACTGTTGGTGGGAATGCAAGTTGGCACACCAATTTTAAGAATATTTACACCTACACAGCTATCAAAAAGAATGAAATCTTGACATTTGCAAGGATGTGGATGGAACTAGAGAGCTAAGTGAAAAAAGTCAGAGAAAGACAATTATCATATGATTTCACTCATATGTGGAATTTAAAAAAGAAAACATGAACATAGGAGAAGGGAAGGAAAAAATAAATAAGATTAAAACAGAGAGGGAGGCAAACCATGAGACTCTTAACTGTAGGAAACAAACTGAGGGTTGCTGGAGGGGTGGTGGGTGGGGGATGGGGTAACCGGGTGATGGGCATTAAGGAGGGCACTTGATGAAATGAGCACTGGGTGTCATATGCAACTAATGAATCACTAAATTCTACCTCTGAAACTTCCTCATCTAATGAAGACCCTGCCCCTGCTCAGCAAACCTCAGCTAATATAGTTCCCCTCCTTTACCCCTACAACGGTGTACTGAATAATTTAGTGTCAAATTGTGCATTTCTGAGTGTGGCCCTTATGACAACTGAATGATTTGCTGTCAGGAATTTGGGGAGCAAAACAAAAAAAAAATCTCACTTGCTATCTTCATCCGTTTTGGGCATGATAAATGACTCCACCAAGTCCACCTGGTTATCACTTGATGTCTTGGGTTCCATTGGTATTTGTGTCATGAGTGTGATCTTCAAATAATCCACCTGCACTGATTTTGAAGCTGCTTATTGCCTCTCCCAAACTCTCTTGGCAACCTGGAGAGAGGAGAAAAATAGGCAGTGCATACCCCCTTCCACATCTAATGTGAAAAAACCAAGGGTCTTTCCCTTTTAACTCACATTGGTTACCTTGGATCTGGAAAGGTTGTTCCCAACTGATAACCTGGGGGCATGCCAGGACTTTCTTTAACTTATCAGAAGCTTTGGTGAAGATGTGGTAAGTGTTGGTATAATGATCCAGGTCATCTTTCATCTCCTGATACAACAAATATTAATCATATTTACATGGCAGTACAATTTACAAAATGTTTTTGCATATGCCAAGAGTGCTAGAGGCTCAATTGTTTAATACCCTCTGTTTTTGGGAAGCGTGGGTGGCTCAGCAAGTTAAGCGTCTGCCTTCGGGTCAGGTCATGATCCCAGGGTCCTGGGATAGAGTTCTGTATCAGGCTTCTTGCTTGGTGGGGAGCCTGCTTCTCCCTCTGCCTGCTGCTCCCCCTCTGACAAATAAATAAATAAAATAATAAATAAATAAAATCTTAAAAAAAATACCTTCTGCTTTTCCCAGAGATGCAGACAGAAAATGGCCTTGGAATCTCTTGAGCAATAAATCACTATTGACAGACTGAAGGTGGTTGGTTTTGGATGGTGCTCTGAAGACAGCTGCTCTGGGAGGGTGGGTAAGTAGCTCCATTGCCTGAGATGGAAGTTGCACCAGAAATAGGGTGTGTTAAGGGACTGAAAGAGAGTGCCTACCTTATGGAGCAAAATATAAGGAACAGGGTTGATGTCAAAACTTGGGGTCTGTGGGGAGGCCATGCCTAGGCTAATGTTGACTCAGCACTCTGGAGCTGGCATGGTGATTGGCTCTTGGTGTGCATGTGAATAGAGAGGACTTTTAGAAAGAGTAATCACACCAGAGCTCACAGCAGCACCTGGAGTGGAGGGCCCAGTCTCCCACTGCCCCTCATTCCTGCTTACCTTCTGCAGCTCACACTCCCCTAGGGGTTGTTACAGGTGAGTTGTGCTCTAATTCTCCTCATAACTATGGAAATGGAGAAGTGTGGGAGGAGGGGTTAAAATAACCCTACCCTGGGATGGAAGGGATTCACTACTTATACCCCCCAAATCTGAAAGATGGGAAAGACATTTTTACTAAATACATAGTTGGCTCTTGAACAACAGTGGTTTGAACTGTGCAGGTCCACTTTCAAGCAAATTCTTTTCAATGAATACAGTATAATGCTGTAAATGTATTTTCTCTTAGGATTTGAATAACAGTTTCTTTCCTCTAGCTTACTTTATTGTAAGAATCCAGTACACAATCCATGTAACATATTAAATATGTGTTAATAGACTGTTTATGTTATCGGTAAGACTTCAGGTCAACAGAAGGCTACTAGTATTTTAAGTTTTTGAAGACTCAGGAATTCTACACAGAGTTTTGATGGTGTGGGGGTTGGTGTCCCTAACGTCTGTGTTGTTCAAGGGTCAACTGTACATGATTTATATATAGTTTAACAGTCCTCTGACACAGGAATTTTTGTCAACTTTGCTTTTATAGCTAAGAAAGCAGCAGTCTTCCCAAGGTCACACAACTAGTCACTTGGCACATTTAGATCTGAAACCCAACACTGATTCAGATATTATTGGATTACATTCATTTAGTCCCAGGGAAAGCAAAACATTTCCTATCCATTTCCAGCTACAAACATCTATCTTGAGGTATATGCCTGTGACTAGAATCTCAATGGAAAAGAATTGACCAGATGGGATCCCGATGTTACTTACAAGCCCTGGATTACTGGCTATTTGGTCTAAACCCATGACTTATTTCACTATCCTCCCCTCTCTCCAAACAGCCCTTCCAAAATCTATATGGATCAGGGGTACCAAGGTTCTTCTCCTCAGGCCCCAGCTTCAGTTCCCTTATTTCCATACAGAGAACATCCTGAGCATGACTGGCTTGGTATTCAGTAGCTAGTGCTCTTACCTCTTTCTGAGGCTGAGTAATGACTATCTGATAATCTGGCCAGGCATCAACCAGCACCTCCATGTTGAATGGGTTTTTATTTTTAATGTTGAAAATGGCACCATATACCTACAAAAGCAACAGATGAAGAGGTGAGGATGATGTTTTCCTTTGAAATAGGGTCTTGGAGATAGTTTGAGGTATAAAGCCTGGAGTTAGAATCACTTAAGGGGATAGATCTAATGATTTTAGGATGGCTCACTGAACTATCCATTGGAGGGTATGCTGCAAAAACAAACAAACAAGCAAACAAACAAACAAAACAGGAAAGGTCCACAAAATCTAAGGAAATAGCTAATTCAAGAGGAACTGGCTCCCCTGACATTCATTCATTCATTTTTTGAAAATTCATTCCATTTTTTTTCACTTCATACTATACCAGTTTTTGGCACCTATTGTGTGTCAGATTTGTGTCAAGCGTGGAGAATTTCAAGGTGAGTATGACATGGCCACTGCATTCAAGTCTAGCAGCATGGAGAGGTACACAGTGATTGTAATAGGACACATGTTCTGATAGACTCATGTACGTGGTTGTGTGGGGTCTCAAGGAAGAAAAGCATTACCTTTCTAGGAAGTGGTGGGAAACTTACAGAAGTAATATTGGAATTTGGTCTTCATAGACAAGTCTTTTCTGGGCAAAACAGAGCAGGAAGGCAAGTGATTTCAGGTGAGAGAAAAAGTATGCTTGAGTACCTGAAGGTGTGGCAGATTGTATCATACCTGTTGAGCTCTGAGAGGCTTAGTGATTGTAGCCTGTGGTATATAGCAGGGATGTGTTGGGAGATGAAGTGGAGAGGCTGGGACATTTTGTGATCAACCTCACAATTAAGGAGTGTGGACTTTATGCCTTGGACTGAAAGTTTAAAACAAGGGAGTGGTATGATCATACTTGTGTCAGATAAATGACTCTGATCACCATGTGTAGGTGAGTTAGTGATACTGGAGAAAAGCAGATACTGCAATAGCCTAGAGCAGATAAGGAAATCCACTAGAGATAGCAGTAGAATTGATTCGAACAAGGTTTAAGAGTCCAAAGGAGGAGGAGGAGGAGAAAGAGGAAGAAGAAGGAGAAAAGTAGGTGTCTGATATGGGTATTAAGATCATCCTTGCAGGGGGAATCTGACTCTAGATTTGTATTTCCATCTGCCCAAAAAGGTTCTGAACCCTGAATCTATATGGCCACACTTTACTCCTCTCTCCCAGATTTCTCCCTACTGTCTCACCTTCAAGGACTCAGGGATGCTCTTTTCCAGCGATTCATACGTAATCTGCAGCTTCTGGGGTTCATGAAGCACAAACATCTTGTATAGCACCTCAGCCGCCCTTTCTCAGGAAGATGACCTAAGGAAACAACATACAAACAAAAATACCTGGAAAGATGAGACAGGTGTCCAGGAAAAGGAGGAAGGAGAAATCACCTAGGACATCATACATTGCCAGACATAATGGGCTTTAGAAATTATCAAGCCCAAACCTTTCATTTAGTAAATGAGAAACTAAAGCCCAGAGCTGCAGCTAGACATCAGGGCTCCTGGGTGATCTTTCTACGATTCCACAGAAAGTACCATAACACATCTGGTGAAATGAATCTCCCCATGCTCATTGATTCAAATTAGGCCAAGACTCTGAGAAGCAAATGTCATCCGCTGTCCAGATGCAAATGAAGAACAATGAATCTTTCAGAAAAACTGTCCCAAGCAACCCTGAGGTCCCTGGGCATGAAACACTTGCTCTAATATTGCCATAGGATTAGTATTTTCAGGCATCATGAAAGAATGCAATCTTCTGGAAAAGATCCTAAAGACCATATTACATGTAGTTGCTTTTTCCTGAGGAACAAAATCATAGGAATGAAAAATTATTGATCAGGGATGATATTACCCAAGTATAAGTGGCAAAATATAGAAACTGGAATTATACCCTAGCTATCTTAAAAATAGAGCAAATCTTTGCATTCAATAATTTCACTTTAGAAACTCATCCCAAGGAAGCAATAATAGATATCTATAGAGAAGTAAATACAAAGAAATTCATTGCAGTATTATGATACTGTCAATTTAGAAATGATCTGAAACTGGGGTACGAGGCTGGCGCAGTCAGAAGAGTATGTGACTCTTGATCTCAGAGTTGAGAGTTCGAGTCACACATTGGATGGAGAGATTACTTAAATTAATAAAACTTTAAAAAAAATAGAAATGATCTGAAATCCATTATAGAGGAATGCTTAAATTAACGGTGGCATATCTGAATTATGGATTACTGGGCAGCCATGAAAATGATGTCTTCAAAGTGTGTTTATTTTTTATTTTTATTTATTTATTTTAAGATTTTATTTCTTTGACAGATAGAGACACAGTGAGAGAGGGAACACAAGCAGGGGGAGTGGGAGAAGGAGAAGCAGGCTTCCCGCTGAGCAGAGAGCCCAATGCGGGGCTCAATCACAGGACCCTGGGATCATGACCTGAGCCGAAGGCAGATGCCTAACAACTGAGCCACCCAGGCACCCCTTCAAAGTGTGTTTAATGACAGAGGAAAATGTCCATGTTATAAACACAGGAAAATACCTAATACAATCCCAAAGGAGTAATATAAAAGTGAACAGGTAAACGGTTATCCATATATATGTATGTGTGTGTATATCCACCAAAGTCTTTCTAAAACAAAATAGCATATAAATAAGATACATATATGAAGTTTTTCCAGTTTTATACACAAGAATATCTGACTTACAAATAATTATATAATATATATTTATATTACATATACCTGATCAGGGTATATATGATACTTAAAGACACTGATAACACTAGCCATATTTTCTAAAAACCAACAAGTACAAGAAATTCAAAGCAATTTTGAAGGCTTAGAGTGGAGCCATCAATTTGTTTATTTATTTTTAAGATTTTATTTATTTGAAAGAGAGAGTGCACAAGTGGGGTAGGGAGAGGAATAAGCAGACTCAGTGCTGAGCACAAAGCCCCATTCGGGGCTGGATGCCATGACCCTGGGATCATGAACTGAGTTGAAATCAAGAGTTGGACACTAACCAATTGAACCTTCCAGGTGCCCCACCATCAATTTATTTTTAATCATAACAATCCTGGAAAATCTAGCACCTACTGTATATGTGTGGTATATGTAGCCAGAATCCAACCAAAAGGAAGCACAGTGGTTAAGAACATGGTTTTTGAATCAAACAGATCAGGACTCAAACCTGGGCTCCTCTACTTGATAGCTGGGTCACTTTAGGTACATTACTTTACTTGAAACTCTCTGAGATTTACTTTCTTCATCCATAAAATGGGGATAATACCTACTTTCTACATTGCCCTCAGGGTGACATCATGAACTGTGTATGTATATGAAGTATTTAGTGTTCTGTTAGATGGTGTATACATGTGATTCTGAGGGAAATTGTAAAGACCTGCAAGTCAAATCAAGAGGACCATTCTAGAGGACAGGAACATAACCAAAGAAAACTACAGCTTTACATATCGCACTATATATAACTTGCCCACATAAATCTGTTAACATAAAATAGTCATCTTGAAGCAAACCACAGCTCTAGAGCAAGCTAGTATGTTTCTGGCACTGTCTAGGATGATGGATATATGAACCAAATGGCAAATTATTCTGCTCATTCTTCAGGCCTTTTATAGCATATTTCCCTAGAAGAGTGTAATCTCCTTAAAAAGTAGACCATGTCTTATTCTTCCTTAAGTTCAAGCATCAAGTACAGCACTTAGCATAGTGTAGCCATCAATGAACATTTTGTTCAAGGAATGAATGGAATGAGTGAGACGTAGAGATGGGGCCCTTGGGATACTTTTCCTTGAAGACTAAGCAACAATTTTCTTCACTTTGGGTCCAAGCTTAGTCAACACTCTAAGAAAATGTGGCTGCTACTTCTTTCAAATAAAGAAGAAAATGTTTACTGATGAGTTGTTTTTAGCATCCTCTGTCAGATATATAAGATGTAGGGGGATGCATTAAGAAGAGATGGGAGAAAGGTTGTGCATAACTTTTGTTCCCTGATGCCACCTGCCATCATCCACAGCACATGCTCTCCCATTTGTGTGCCATGTTACAGCCAACTGCCCTCTGCAGCAGGATCCTTTCTCGGCTCCCACCCAGTGGACACATCTATCTCCAACTCATCCTGGGGCTTCCATGTGGTAGAATCCTTCTGGCTAAATCTAATCCAAAAGACACTTTGTTATGATCATCCATAAAAATATATAGACAAATATAGATGTTTAACAAGATTAGAGAAGAGAGCTCAACAGAGGAGACTAGGGAGTAGCAGCCCAAGAAGAGTGTTAAAAGTAAGAGGAGAAACATCTCTGAAGTCAAAACAAGAGAAACTTATTTAAAGGAGGGAATAACCAGAAGAGTCAAATGATGCTGAGAAGCTAAGAGAGAGGAGTACTAAAAATGCCAATGCAATTTGGAGTGGGGTATTGATTACTGATCTCACGAGAGACGTACCAGGGAATGATGGAGAAGAAACTAGGTAAACAGGATTAGAGACTAAAATGGACTGTGAGGAAGTGAAGATAAGTTTTTAAAGACATTGGCCAGGAAAAGGAAGGAGAAGAATATAAGAGTATGGAGAGAGAAACAAGAGTGTAGGAGCTCAAATGAAGGCATTTCTTATCAGATGAGAGAGATAAGTATATTTATGCTAACTGCAGAAAGCCAGGTATGATGGAAAGTAATTGACAAGTCCATGGATATAACAGGAAGTGGAATGGGGAAAGATAAATAGCTAAGTCCACTGACCAGGCACTGTTCCAAATCCTTTACGTTTATTAGTTCATCTAATCTTTAACCTTATCTCTAAGTATAGGTGTTGGGATAGTTTTGGATGGGAAGAATACCTCTTCTACTGAGATGGGAGAGAAAGATTTTAGTTAAGATGTATGCACGTGGGTATGTGTGTGAGTACCTGGGGTTAGACAAAAGAGCAGAAAGTTGACAAATTATCTTTGCATATCTATTTTATGGAAGAAATAGAAGGACAAGTTCCATTGGAAATGAGTAGGGTGAGAGAGTGTGCCAGGAGGGTGTAGAGAAAAAAGAATAAGTCTTTATGGGAAATGGTCAGGGTTTGAATGGCATCTGATGTTAGTGGTAGAAAGCGCAGTCCAGGTGTACATATAGGGATCTCCAGGCATATCTTAGGACCAGGTGCAGAAGGAAAACCAACACTTGGGAGTAATACTCATCCACATATATGAGCTTAGTACCCAGAGAGTAGAAGCAGAGAAAACAAATTTAAATCAAACAGGCTAGTGCAGCAAAAAAAGATAAGGGCCAAACTATTTGAGAACAAGGAAATGAGAGACTTTATTTTTTAAAATATTTTATTTATTTATTTGAGACAGACAGAGAGAGAGAGCACAAGTTGGGGGGCAGGGTTAGAGGGAGAGAGAGAGAGAGAAGCAGACTTCCCGCTGTGCCGGGACCCAGACGTGGGGCTTGATCCCTGGACCCTGGTATCAGGACCTGAGCTGAAGGCATATGTTTAACCAACTGAGCCACCCATTTCCCTGGAAATGAGAGACTTTAAACTGAATTTAACTTGTGGGATCTAGAAGAGAGAAGGAAGGAAATAAAGGAGGATGGAGACCAATCAAGTGGCACAATATGGAGAAAGCAAGGATGAAAACACTTTATAAGGTCAAAGAATAGCAATGGTGATAGACAGGGGAAATGTATTCAAACTATAGGATAGTGGGGTCATAAATTAGACTATTAGAGGTTAGGATTTCAGAGGTCAGTTCAGGATATATGGCTATTGGCTTCAACGTTAAGTCAATAGAGTAGGAGCCAGTAAGGGACTGGGAGCTTTGAGTGTGATAGACATCACCACGATGTGGCAGGAGTTTGACAGAGAGAAAAGTCTGTGAGTCAGGTGCCAAATGCATCCATCAATGAAGAGAAATTTGGCAGCAAACAGGAAAGAGTCTGACTTCATCTTAGTCATCTGGCACAGAACTCAAAGAAAGGTTTTCTGTGCAAATAGATAAGTAACACTTTAGAAGATGGGTTAGAAGCCAGGAGAGTGCTGAATCTTATCTTTATCAGTGTTTCCATGGGTGTCTAGAGGGTGCAGGGACAGGTACATGTGTATCAGTTTTTTATAATTCAAGGAAAGGATTTGGCCTGCTTACCAGTTTAAAATGACACACACTAGCATGGTAGATTCTTAAAGTACTTTCTGGGCCCCAGAGACATACATTTTGAGGACTTGGTTCTCAACATTGGAATTTGTGAGTGCATCTCCCAGGGATTGCAG